GTTACAGATACATAAATTCACCATCGAGTCATGAAAGTCCAGTAAAGTTTGTCGATCATAGATGAGAAGTGCAGCAACTTGCTGTAACAGAAAACAAGGCAACAGAACGAGGAGACAACAAACATTTTTTTCTAATAGCACATACTACATTACTACATTAAAATAACCTTTTATTATATTTTGCTTATATGATGTTTTGAACCATTGCATCACAGCCATTCATTTTATAAGATTTTGATTGGCCAAGCAGTGTTCCTAGAGTGCTGATATTTAGTCTACTAGCATTGGGATTTTACCATTTTGGCGTTGCTCTGCTTGTCTGTGTTTGTGCCATTCCAAACCGGCGGTCAGTCTGCGCATTAGTTGCTTAGATTTTTGAGGGTATTTTTCATTTTTCAATGAAAATTTACTATCTATTTGTGTGTTATCAGCTGATTTATTTAGAAACAACCCACCATGTGTTTCTCAGAGACATGTATTGGTTGATTCTTCTTTGTTCTTGTTCTTGTTGTTCTTGTCTCATAATATCACATTTTACAGTAATGTTGATAGTCTAAATATAAGCACAACAACCTTACCCATGGCCACATGCCAACGGGCTGTTCATGATACATATTGTTTCAAAGCAGCATTACAGAAAATCTGAATTTTTACATTACAGTCACGAATAATCAGAGGTGACTGTGTCAGAGTAATGTCCATATGGTAAGAATTTATAGTTCTAGGATAAAACAAATCATGCAGTAAGGTAACTGCTGCATTTAAACAGAAATAATGAACATGCTATGATCAGTGCTTTAATTAATATTGCAATATTGCTTAGTTTAGTCTCACATACACAGCCTTTGCAGATGCCTGATGCTTGACAGTTGTAAGGGAAACAGGTCAATTTAGCTCAAAGGGAATCATTTAAGATTTAAAAGGGAATTTGGACAGAATCACTGTTTTACGGCTGATCACTGAGACGGCCAGCGATTCATTGAGCGAGCCTTATAACATCAACTCTGCAATGGATATTAATATCCAAAGTATAGTGAAAACACTATTTATTAGCACAGTAACAAGATTGGCAGTTTAAGACATTAACTTGTAAGCACAAAACACAAGAAACTTCTTTTTTCAATATGAATAAGACTTTATTGGATAAATCTAAGACATAAACTAATCTAACACATAAACACACGCATTCACACATTCACACAAGTTGCAGGAAGAGAGAAAGTGAGGAAAGAATGAGTTTAAGAGAATGAAAATGTGAAATCCCAAGTTTACAGCAATATGCGCAATTGCATAGATCTGAACAACCATCAATCACTTAATTAACCCTCGCATTGAGTTCCTCAATGAGGTTAAAATTTATATTAAATGCACCAGTTCAGCTAGAATCTGGAGGTATTTGCCTTGTGTGCGGGATTCCCTTCCTTGTCTGGTTGCCGAAAGGGGTTTCCCGAGGTCGCTGATTGGCTGAAAGTTCAGTCTTGGGAAGCCAGTGGTTGGGCGTTGGCTGACAACGCGGAGTTGTGGCCTGGTTGAAGTTTTAGACGGCACTTGAGGCACGGCGTTAGGCAAAACTTAACTCAGAACATGAAACTCTCAACGGAAA